TTTAGTAAATTCCAAAGAAATACATATATGGGAAAACAAAATTAGAATATTTAAAAATATAATAAAGCTAGAGATTATTAAACCTTAAATAATTTAGGATGTTCAAAATAATTTAATAAACAGAATTTGAATTTATTACATGGACTCAAATCTATGATGTAGAGAAAACAACAGTCACTCTGTCAAAATGTTGGGTATTATGATAATATAGAACTTCTCTCCAAAATTCAACAAGCTCATAAATAGACTTGTACCTTTGGTTGGTAATTTTGGCACACAACTTTTACACTTGTGACTGTGTTCTCCCAGTGGGCTGAATGGTACCACTGCTTTGACATTCAAAATGCAATTTTTAAAGTTGAAAATGTTTATATTTATAATAGTTTCTTTAATTCTATTTAATGCTTGGGAGTTTGTGTTAAGTACTAAGGCCATAATGACAATTATTTATCATGATTTAGATGAAGAAAATGGAAAATAAAATTAAAAAATGCAAATCACATGAAGATAACATCAAGCGTTCAGGAATATAAGAAGTGTATGTAAACATACATAATGTATTATTAAGAATTTTTTTATTGTAGTAAATCAATGATTATCACAGGTTAATATTATCAAACATTAAAGTGATGGCTTCTTCATGACAATAAATTAAAGTTATTGAAGAATAAATTCAGCATTAAAAAGTGTCCTAGAGGAATCCATCACAGGTCCTATTGTTCCCATAACCATTTCTAGGGGGTCCAGCCTACATAAGAAGCAAACTAAAGGTATGTTTTATATCAAGACCCCCATTCCCTTTCAGTACCAGCTGATTGCATTGAAGGTGGCACCTCCCTTGAGGACAATCTACAGCCAGTAAGTGACTAGCTGGTAATGACACCACACAGTAAAATATGTGATTGGATTAATATATAAACATAATTTGAAGACAAACAGGTAAGATTTGGAATATTAGGGCAATATAAGTACACTAACTTGAAAATAGAGCATTTAAAAGCATTTCACCTTGTTTTCTTTTAAAATCTGAAATATTGAATTCAATCTTTAATATTCTTTTCATTTAATAACTGAATTAATACATTAGACAATTTGAGGAAAGGGAGACAAACAAAATACTTACTTGTGATGCTATTTCTCGACACTGACACAAAGCAAGGGGAAAAAAAACACACAAAATACAGTTTAAACAATGTCTAAACAATACATACACAAACCAATCAGTAACAGGACAATATATGACAGATACCACAGAACACATCATCTAATTATGTGTTTGATTATTTATCATAGCACTTTTGAATACAATTAGATAAATAATAAGCTAATATTTTAAAAATTTGCTAGAAAGTTGTTCTTGCTAGATTTTTTTTCTAAAATTGTCTTTCTAAGATTTGATAGAAAGTTAATGCGGTGCTAATAGAAAATAAAACAATTAATAAGAGCTTATGAAAATACTATATTCATGAGAGGATATTGACATAATCATTGATATTCAATAATCACTATTGGTATTAATAGCTGTACTATTTTTAAAACTTTAGATCTTATAATAAGACTTTTTTCACCTCTATGTATACATTTAAGTAACTTTATAGAAATAGATTTAGTTATCACATAGGCTATAGAGGATAAAAATTGATCTGCCCAGTCAACATATAAACCCTAAATATTTAGGGGTTATAAAAATCATGCTATCTTTTTCTTAGGAATAATATTTTCATTCCTCAAAAGGTAGAAGTGAAATTTTCAATTATATTCTTTGGTGTAATGTAACTCAAGTCTAACCCATTATCTAGCATTCTCACTATTGTTACAAATATAAAAAATGCATAATAAATATATGAATATAGGCTCCTTGAAATTATTTGTCTGCAGATTCTTAACAATTGGCCCAATGAGTGAGTGAATAAATGCAGAGGATGGGCAGCTCGAGGTTTTTTTTTTTTTTTTTTTTTTGCAGAACGCGGGCCTCTCACTGTTGTGGCCTCTCCCATTGTGGAGCACAGGCTCCGGACGCGCAGGCTCAGCGGCCATGGCTCATGGGCCCAGCCGCTCCGCGGCACGTGGGATCTTCCCGGACCGGGACACAAACCTGAGTCCCCTGCATCGGCAGGCGGACTCTCAACTGCTGCGCCACCAGGGAAGCCCCCAATTATTGAATGAAGTTTCTACCTCCTGAAATCTGGTGTCCTCTTTTTTTTCTTATTTGTTTTCTTTTTTTTTTATTTATTTATTTTTGGCTGCGTTGGGTCTTCGCCACTGCACGCAGGCTTTTTCTAGTTGCGGCGAGCGGGGGCTACTCTTCGCTGCAGTGCGCGGGCTTCTCATTGCGGTGGCTTCTCGTGTTGCAGAGCACGGGCTCTCGGCACACGGGCTTCAGTGGTTGTGGCACGCGGGCTTCAGTAGTTGTGGCGCACGGGCTTAGTTGCTCCGCGGCATGTGTGAACTTCCCGGACCAGGGCTTGAACCCATGTCCCCTGCATTGGCAGGCGGACTCCCAACCACTGTGCCACCAGGGAAGCCCCGGTGTCCTTCTTTAATGAAAGTAACAGAAAAATTGGCATTTTGGACAATGATAAATTATTTGAATTCTAACACTTGAGTATTCTTGAACCGTTTGAAATTTGAGAGAGATGGTGGAATGTATGAGCCACTCTTTCATTTCATTAGATCCACTAAGCTCTTATTCTGTGTTTTTATATAATCAGGAAGAAGATAATGTTTTCCCCTTTGCACAAAACCCAATGTCTTTACTGAGTTAATGCTGAATTATGTTCCCTTCTTTAAAAAAAAAAAAAAAAAAAAAGAACATCGACTTAAGGGATATTCACCTTATTGGTACTTTTGCATCTTGCAAAACTATAATTAAAGATAGATAATGTTCATCATGTTATCTATCTCTTAAATATCTCTAAATGTTCAATGTCTTAAATAAGGAAGCACATAATATACTCATTCTTTTAACAGTGATCAGGAAAAACAAATCTTTCTCTAGATGAACTTACATCCTTTTGTGTATCAAACTACAATTATTATAAAATTCAACAGTTCTATTTTTGCCTTATTTGCCAGGAAAATAAACGTAGAACTCCTTTTCAACTGTAGCAGTCACTTCATTTTAATGTAAAGTAGCATTAATTTCTCTGCCCCTATTAATATATTTTGCTGTAAAAGTGCTTGAAGGTCCTATTTTTATCTTTAATTATTTAAATTGCCTTTTTTTCTATAATAGGCAGAATATAAAATCTAAATAAAAATATGTGTTCCAGAAGATGAACTGAATTTAGTATAGGAAGACAACAGGTATTATCCTCATTTAACCCACTATCCTTTTATTTTTCCAAGGATGTGTGCTTTTAATATAAGCTAAAGGGTTGGGGGTTTATAAACATTTTGCTGGTTTGTGATAGGAACAAATGACCAAAATGTAACGTTAAATACTCCTTGATGACAGTACAAATACTCAATTACTCTTT